GAGACAGAGTTACCTTTGACATTTCCAGTCTTATCTTATTACAAAACAAAAAGGAAAGATAACTAACAACAACCAGTCTTTCTCTTTCAGGATATATATGGTCATAATCCACTTTTCTTATTATGAATTTTATTTCAACGATCTCAAATTTGTAAAAATCAAACAAATTGAAAATCATTTAAGTATTTAGTTGTGACGAAAAAAAACCATTGATCTCATAGTTTTTCTTTTTTAATATTAAGTCCGATGTCTCCGGATAAAAATAATTTTTAGTTTTAAAATAATTATTAGGAATTGCAGGTAATGGAAGCGAGTGACTACTTTTCCATTATTTTTGTCTCATACAAATCAGCAGAGGCAGGTATAATAATAATATATATTTATTCCCTTTCTATGCGTCTTTGTTTTATATTAATTGTTGATGGGCATGTTGCTTTAGACTTTTTGTCTAAGATTTCAGATCGAATTTGTTCAAGTATTTGATATGGTACATAACATGAGAAGGTGTCATCATATCCTTCAAGCGCTTGTTTATCAAAATTGTTTAGGTCTAGGGTTCGATTTCCTCTAATATAACTAAAACAAGGAAATGTACAGATGACGTGACCACGGCGTGCAATCGTATCCCTATTTTCATTTGAGTATAAGTATTTTCTATGTAGTTGGGTCAATAAGGCTTAAATTAATCAATGGGAATTTGCCTTTGAGAGTCCACCTAAATTAAGGACACATTAGTACAGCAAGGCACAAAGTCACAGAATTAACCCTCTTCCAAAAATCTCATGTCAATGACTCAATGTGAAAGGATCAATTATGAAACCACGCTTTTAATTAATATTAAATTGAGATATTAATATCCTACATGATTAAAATAAATAAATAAAACTTGGCCCAAGTTCTAGAAACTAGACAGGTTTTCTTGCACAATACATCACACCAAACTGAGATTTGGTAGCAACTACCATTTGATCAAACATAATCTCTCAGATTAGAATATATACTCATAATTTGTTTAGTTTAAGCTTATATTTGAGTAAATTGCAAATCAGCTTAATTAGGATATTACAAGGCCACTAAACGGTACAGTTTCTCCCTGGCAAAGGGGGTTAATTAGATTGTACATTTCACAAGCAAAGGCTGCTGTGTGGTTTTATGTACAAGCTTTTAGTCAACCACATCATCACTAAACAGCTTAAATTTGCTGGCATCAAGAACCAGTTTCCTTACAGATGAAAATGTGCCCAAAATTCCGGCGCCTGTGAACACGATCATTATAGATATGTTGATCCAATAAATGAAGGTTGATTTTGGAGGCTTATAGGTCTTGTTGTAGAGAAGCATTGGCAGGATGAAATCTAAAGGGATGAAGCCAACAGCTCCAACCACACCGCTTATGTCTCCAAAAAATGGAAGCATTGCTGCAAAAAAACCGCAGAGCAGCATGTACAGGGATCGGAGAATTATTCGAGGAATGAGATTCCTTTTTGAAAACATTCCTTGATTGACATCAGCTGATTTCTTTTCCATGATCTCATAAGCAACTTGAGAATAAACCTGCATCATATTTGAGAAATATCACCTCAAATGCAACTTTAAATAGGCTTGAAAAATCAAACTTTCAATTTTCAGTTCCAGACAACTGTACAGAAAGGTTTTCCCTCCACCATTGTAGTAATTTTTCCCTCCTGTTATAGGCTGTAATTTTCAACTTGGTATGAAAAGCACATGAGTAAGCTTACCAGGCCAATGGCTAAAAGCTGAAGGAGTACAAAGATCACAGTAACTGCAAGAACCCAAGTTGGAGCCAGAGAAGGTCCCTCATCTGGCATTAGGCTCAGTATAATGTTTGAACTAGCTTTGTTCCCAAACACCCAGTATCCGGACACTGCAGTTGAGTAGAAAGTAACGAAAATTACAGTGTAACACATGACAAGACCTTTAAACATCTTTCCAGTAGCTGGTGGCGCCAAAGTTGCCTGCATTGATCCATGGGCACATGATAGAATTAAATAAAAAAGCATATGTCAAACAAGTGATTGCTTGACCTAATTTTTTGATGTTTATGATTTTCACACTAAAACTAGATGGGAACTTGCGCACATGTTCCCAAGCAGTCTTGTTAAATCAACCAGATCATGTAATGGATGTGCCAACTGGCATGAGAAAGCTTGAAATTTTGCAACTAATAGAAAGTTCCAAAGAGGCTGTAGTTACTTGTATTTCAGGAAGAATTCCGTTCCCGAAGATAGCAGCAATTATGGAGATGGAAGTGAAGGCATTAAACAGCTTTGCTGAATTCGAAGATTCTAAGGAATAGTCCCTCACAGGGGCATTCTTAGACGTACCTAGAGGAAAAAAGAAATGTTTACCACAGGATTAGGACTTGCTTTCTTAAAATAGATAAATAAATTTCATGATCAAATAACTCAACTGGTTATATCTGGCCCCTTTAGTGAAAAATAAACCATCATTACTGCTGACAATTGAAAGCTCCAAGTCTAATGCTTTACCTAGAAACTTGATAATCGTCGAACCCCTTCTCGAGGATTACACAAGGCATTCCTTTGAGTATTTATTAACAATAGAAGCCCATGCTAACATGCATGATGCATGTCATACAAATTCAATTCCGCATTCCTAATTCAGAGGGGTAAGAGTTGTCAATGACACAACGCTAGTTTTGGCACCAGGGAACAATTCAAGTCATTTTCTTTCTGTTTTGATGATGCATGAGTACGATAAAAGAGCGGAAAGTTACAAGCAAGATACACATGCAATTATATGCATGAGTGGTGCGTATATAAATGACGATGCTGAAGGGATGTTGAAGGATTCAATACCTGCATAAATACAAGCACCAACCACCAGGAATGAGTAGCCCAAGCTGAGAAGCAGCGAACCAAAGTTGATGTGCCTGAGGGAGTGGAAAGTTGGAAGCTGAGAGATGACTATCATTACCACTGTAACCATGGCTATGAAGTGGTACAATTTCAGAGATCCATTGGGAGAAAGGTCTGAATACATAATCTTCCCAAAAAAAAAAAAAAAGAGACAATCAAGATAATGCAAGGTTACTAAAATAGGAATCAGTTCACAATAAACCAATTTTCTATTGATACTCTTGGAAGCTCATGTGCTGATGAGATAATAATGATACCATACCTTGAGGCATTCTCCAGCCAGCAAAATTGCTCCAATTCCAACCCCAGTGTTTATGGCCGTTTGAATGAATATCACAAAATAAAACATCCATCCTGACCCTGTAAACAAAACCAAAACGCCCCACACACTTTCAGTTAATACAATTTAAAGATTCTACATTTCTAATTCAAGCAGGACAGACACAGAGAGCACCACTAATAAACAATGTAGCCTTTTTTGTATTAATCAAATCCAATTTGTGCACCAATTTCGGACTAACGTTTAACAAACAGAATAAATTCCCTGCTGCTTTGCAGCTTTCTCCACTAACAAAAAAAATAAAAGATAAAAGATTGGTAGGGGTTTCAAGTTTTCAACTTTCCCTACCGGCGTAAGAGCCTAGGCCGGGTTCTGGACGACCGGGTCAGACCCGACCCGACTCAATTGCAATTACATACACGTGTCACAATCCCACTACATTTACACCCCACAAGTTTTGTGGGCAAGGGCCACGTGTACTTCAACGTCGTCAGATGGAGAAGTCAAAGCTCAAAGAGCAGAGCACCAGAGAAACAACCGGAGCGAAACCTGTAAACGAGTCTGCCGCCGCCCCAAAAGGACGCAAACACGACTGTTTCGATTTCATTTATATAAAAAATCGCGCAACAAAAGAAAAATATAACAAAAACATGCAAAATTCAAAAGAAATTCAAAAAATTCAAGACGTAAGAGGAAAGCAAAAACGTGTGGTGGTTAAGTTAATTAGTTTTTTTTTGGGCAACAAACATAAACCGAATTACCAACCATTTTACCAAACGACGTCGTGTTAGAGTTTTTGCTCAGAGTTACCTAAGACGTCGGCGGCGAGTTCACGGAATCGGATGTGGCGGCGGCCAGCCTTCTCGCAGTGGTCGAGCACTTTGGACATGAGGTAGTAGGAGTAGAAGGTGACGACGCCCATGGTGGTCAAGCACAGGAACCCTGGGCCCCACCCGAGGCCTCGGAACGCGTACGGCAGCGTCAGTAGTGTAGGCCCCACTATTGCCGTCGTCAGATGGAACCCCGCATGCCACCACTGCCCTGTATAATAAATAATAAATAATATTACGTAAAGCATACATAATAAACCAGATAAATTAATAAAATTGGACGAAAACAAAAACAAAATTAGAAGGAATATGAAAAATGTGCGACCTTTTGATTGGAGGACGAAGACTGCGCCGGCGTCTTCGTCGCGGCTGGTCTCGAGGAACGGTGCCGGGTTCGGAGGCTCCGGCATCATTTGGTGAGAGCCGCGGATCGGTGGTGCAGGGGTGCGCAGGTTGGTGAGGACTGAGCTGAAGGCTTAGTCTTTTAGGTTCTTCCGCTCTGGAGGAGTAAACTAAGGGCTAAAGTGCGCGGGGTGCGGAGAGAACATTTGCCGCCCGAGGGGAAAAAACAAACACAAATGAGGTAGGTGGTTACAGAGAGGAATGGCTTTTAACTTATTCCAGTTATTCAAAGTGAGCCTCTCTCTCACTACCTGATTTTACAGAATTGCCCCCTTCTGCTTTGTCTGTTTTCGTTGCAAGTGGGGGGAGGAGGGGTCGATTTGGTCTTTTCGTTTAGCATACACGCTGGCGTGAAGGAATAAATTATCTATTTTGTTTGCAACCCAGCAAAAGAAAGTATCTTAAACGGCGCGTTTTGGTCACTGTTTGTTCGTTTTTGGAAAGCAAGTCACTTTCAAACAAAGCCGCTTGCGGCGTTGTTGTTGGTGTGAAACCCCTGTTCGTTTTGGAAAAGCAAGGCACTTTCAAACAAACCCACTTGCATTGTTGTTGTTGGTGTGAAGTCGTTCAGTGTTAAAAAAATGTCAATGGCCAATAATACTTCATTGAAAAAAACAGACAGGGCCATTCATTCATTCTTGCCAAGGCTAAAAGTTGACATCAAAGTTGAAAATTTTTAAAAAAATTACAGAGATCAAAGTCAGATTAGGGCGCCTAAGGCCCATCAAACTGATGGACATGACCTACATGTGCTCAAAAAACACTTGAGCATGAATGAATGAGAATCAACAGAGAGAGGTTGCAGCAGCAGAAGCAGCAACACTTTTGTTGTATTCTTCTAGCTCCTTCTTGTATGCCTCCATTGCTTCAGCAGCCTTGTCATTCCAAGGCTTCCTCTCTTCTTCACTCAATTCCTATACAACCCCAACAGCAGAAAAAGGATGAGTTTAATTAATCAACCAAAAGAAAAATGTTACCAAATGCAATTCTGAATGAAAGGAGGGAAACCCACCTTCCATTTCACCGAAATCAGTGCAGTGATGGTGGAGCTGTTGGTCCCTGGTCTCTCCTCCAGTAGACTCTTTCTTGCCTCCTTGCTACAGTATTCAAAAGAAAACCACAAATCAGCTATTTTTCTCTTTTACCGGGGGGGTGGTTTGCAACATTTACTGAGTGATTTTTTTTACCTGAACAAGATGTATGAGGAGGCAGGCTTCTTGGGCTTGTTGGGATCATCAGCATTCTTCTTTTCTTCCTTCTTCTTCTTCTGTTCCTCCTTTGTTTTCTATTTATTTTACAACTTGATTAGTAATCATTTAGAAGAAAAAAAAAACATGTGACAGAAACAATAATAATCAGTGAACAATTTGACTAGCAAACCTTAATGATGTTTTCTGTCTTCTCCTTCTTCTTAAGCAGCTGCAAGGCTTCATGCTTTTGCCTTCCTTTTTAAGACTGGAAGCTTCCTCTTCCTTCGTCTGTTTGTAAACCTCCATCTCTTGCATGTACTTCTCCTTGTTCTTCTTTGCCATCTGCAAGTTTCGAAGAAACCCATGAACTTATTATGTTAGCTGGCGCAGGGAAAATAACATCACAAAAGAGAAGGAAAAAGCTTTTATGTGCTTGCTACCTCTTCGTATGGACGTTTTTGTTTCTCTGTCATGTTTTTCCATTCTTCACCTGTGATCTTTGCAATCTACAAAATAGTCCCAAAGTTGACAAATTAAAAGAGATCAAATGAGTAAATATGGATGGAGCTTTTTCAAATGGGGATGGTGATTTTCAATTACCTCAGGGACAGTTTTGCTCTCTGCAACCAGAGCTGCTCGCCTCTCATTTGTGAACAGGAAAAATGCTGACATCGGTTGCTTGGGTTTCAATGGATCCTTTTCTTTCCTGTAAATCCAAAATAAGTAAAATTATCAATTTTATAGTCTCCTAGATAGACAGAGAGAGAGAGAGGGAGAGAGATGAGTTTTACTTGGTTTTCTTGTTGTCTTTCTCTGCTTCTTGTTTGAACTGCAGGTATTGTTCAAGCAACTCCATAGCTGTCTTCTGCTTGTGCTCCTCCTCCAATAGATGCATTGCTTCACTCTCGCGCTTCTCTTTTGCTGTCACTTGCAAATAAGCTTCCTTCTCAGCCTGGTACCTCTCTTCATAAGGCTTTTTCTCTTCAGCAGTGACGTTCTTCCACTTGGCCCCCAAAATGTTTGAGATTTCTTTGAACTCTGCCTCAGGGTTCTCCTTCTTGATCTGCATCAAAATCCCAAATGAGAATTTAGAAACGGTTTCACATTCAAATCCCCAGAACCAAATTATACTCTGTCTCTTTACCTCATTCCATTGATCTTTGCACCATAGGACATAAGGAGGGGCTGGCCTTTTCTTTTCAGGACACCCCTTCTTTTTCTTGTCGTTCAGTGATTGAACAATTGGGAATGCCTGACAAGGATATAATAACAATTGTGTCAAATCCCATTTCAAGATTATAGCATTAATTTGATCAAATCACCTAAGAACCTATAAATTAAGAACCCAAGCTTGCACATTTTCTCACAATTTACCAGTAACCAAACAAACGAAAAACCCAAAATCAAGGATCATCAAACCAAATTTCAGGTTTTTAAAGTTTTGCCCATTCTCTCAGAAACCAGCCAGAGTCTAATGCAACAAAAGAATCCAGGAGAAAATAAAGATAAAACTGAAGAAAAATAAAGGGGATCGACAAAGAAAACCCTAAGAACCTAAATCAAGAATCGAGGTTTTAATTTTTCCAAAAAAATACCCAAACAACATATAAGAACCCTAAATCAAGAATCATCAAACCAAATTTCAAATCTTGAATACATTTTCTCAGCAACTACACAACACAAGAACAGTAAACACAGAAACGAAGAAACAAAAGGGGATCGAGAAATACACACCATGGTGGGTTTGAACTCCTTCAGCTTCTGCAGCTTCTTCAACTCCATCTGAAGCTTGTCTTGCTCTCGGCCCTTGGTTTCAAGCTCTTCCTCCTTGAGCTTCAAGATCTCATCTTTCTCCTTCAACAGCTCTTCAGTCTTCTCCTTCTCAAGCCTCATTTCCTGAAGCTTCTCTTGCATTTCTTGCAGATCTTTCTCGAAAGACGATTGGGTCTCCTTGGACTGTTTCTTGGAGGCCGCGGCCTTCGATTTCGATTTCGATTTCTTGGGGGATGCGCGAGGGTGAGAGAGGCTCTCATGGTTCTCCTTTGCCAGGTCGGCTTGAGATACCGCTTGGATCGGGCTGGGATCGGGTTCGGAGACCTTGCCGGCCTGGATATTGGCTTCGTTTCCAGATGGGTTTTTGTCCTTGAGCGCCCTTCGATTGGTCCTTGCCTTCCTTGTGGGCACTTCGGCAACTGCAGTGTCAGCCATAGCAGAGAGAGAGAGAGAGAGAGAGAGAGATGGAGGTTGGAGGATTTTGATTTTGAGTGGTTGTTGAGGGGAAGAGAGCGGTGTTTATATGGAGAAGGCGGGGGAGACCCAACGGTAAGATTTTTAAAATTCAAATTAATTTTTGAGATTGGATAGTTGTTGGAGGTCCGGGGCTTGGCCTTTTTTGACCGTTGGTAGAAACTAGGAAGCGGGCACAAGTTCTTGCCATATAGAGAGCACAATTTGAATTATCTTCCACACATGGTTCTTTTTTTCTTTAATTTGATAGTTTCCTTCCATATTGGCCAAAAGGAAGTGATAAATAAAATTTAAAATAATTCTTCATTTGGCAAATCCCATTTCATACATCTTCATGCCAATTTTAGTTTTACAATTAGTGTTCTCTGAATGAAAGGTTGTTAATATAAACTACTAATTATGTAAATTTTTCCTCACATTATGTAACGCCAAATTCAGTCTAATAATTTAAAACATACACATCTGACGGTAGATTCAATTTAACAATATATATAGATGGATTTAGATTAGGACATATAATAACATGCACTACACAGCTTACAAACTAATAGGTTTTGTATATGTTTGTGAACAAGTCAATGCTGGATGTTATGCAAGCTTTGCATAAAAGTTTGATGATTTATTCAGTAGCGCCCAATTGGAAAAAATCATGCTTTCTTTTTTTTCTGCATAGGGTGACATGTATGAAATACCTCAAATTTTACCCAAGTCAAAATTCTCAAATATGAATATTCAATCCGCTTAGAGACCATTATGATCATTTACAACGTAACGTTTCACACTTCTTGCAGATAAAAGAACAAATAATCTTAAATACGATGAAAAGAACAGATTTCTGAATTAAGATTATAAAAATTTGAAGTTTACAGCTTGTAATAGTGACAGAGGTTACAGTCCTTTTTTGCTCAAAGGTCCAAAGTGGCTGAAAGTCTAGGGAGGGGAGGGGAGAGTCAAATTCTCAGTGCGAATGTGGAGGTAACTGCTCTTCCACTACAGCTATGCACCTGGACGACGGAGATAACAGTTCATACGACATGATGATCTTTTTGCAGTATTCTATTCGTTGTAAGTACGTATGAGGATGTCAATGACAGGCCAGTTGACACTGGTAAGGGTGCAGTCGAGGCAAAGATGACCGATTTTTCTGGAGAAGAATGAAGAATTGTAGTATAGACAAGGCATAAAAGGAATATGAGTCATCAGAAACTTCTGCAAGAAACTTTACCAGGATCCAATATATATGCTCTCATGATCTAGAAGGGGTAACAAAATAAGAATTCAGGCACCAACCTAAGCTGATGTTCTCAGCCATTTACCACCATCTCCATTAATATATCATTCCAAGAGTCTATTGGCCCTGGTAAGCACCAATGCAAACAATCAGTCTGAACCTTTGCGTTTTTGTCATGGTCAAATGGATGATAATGTCTATATGGACCTGGATGCCCATCAGGCCTCATCATAGAAAGTGGGACAAGGTCAAGGAGTTTGAGATTCACCCCACTTTTAGAAGCTTCTGCAGCTGCCTTCTCAAACACCTCTAGTTCTATTCTACGCAGAATCTTATGTACCTCCTTCAGTTCAACCTCACCTTCTTTAACTGGGGCTGTTCTCTTGCAATGTCCCCCATTAAACCACTCCCCATTCTCAAAGTGATCAGGCGTGGACGTTCTGAAAAAGATCATGCCCTTGTAATCAGACGTTACTATATAGTCCATCACAAAACTCAGCACTTTGCGATAAGAAAAATCAAACCCTAACTCTGTTAGGTTCCTTTTAGGACAGTAATGGCATCCCAGCACTTCATTGTTCTCATAGTAGATTGCAGTTTTGAGAAACCATTTCCCTGTTGAAATTACCATGTAGTCCCAACTGTGGTATTGATCCACCCATGTCCTATCAAGCTTGTCAAGATGCAGCTCAACTTCAGATGTTGCCACACCATTATAGTCTTCAAAAATAGCAGCTTTGGCAAGAAAAGGGGACCAAATAACTGAGACACTGAAATTGTAAGATGGAAAGTGCCATCTTCGGGACCTATAATCCTTGTCATGGTACACTTGAACTGCTCGTTCAACCTGAAGCACAATGTTTCAATCAGATTTGCCACAATCTCTTGAAAGAAGTTAAGTTCTAGGCTTAAACGGTCAAAATAATCAACACTGAATCCATCAACCTAGAATCTTGAACATTAATGATGGCATGTCCATATTGTAAACGGATGAAGCATTGACCAAATGCAGGAGACAAAAGTAAGGTACAAGCCTACACTTGTTCATGTCATATGTATTATGGTAGCAATAAACATGTGTCTCTGCATGCGCACACACAGACCGAGGGTGGGAAGCTTTATTCCAACTCTATTAACTTCGTTAGATCAAACAATTTCATTGGAAAACATTTGTATATCAGGACCCTACTTCTGTAAATAAATATATTTCTTTTCTATGTTTCATGTGGTGGGGTTGCTTAAAGCAATAAATGAAGGCACAATGAGTGGTGCAGCTAAAAAGTGGTAGCAGGCTGGGGAAATTCATAGGCAGTGCAAAAAACCAAATTCTACGGAAGCTCTAGTGAACTGAGAACAACAGGCATCAATGAAGACTAGTGAGGATGCATAAAGAAGTTCTTCACGATTTATTCAACAATTCTCAGGATTAGAAAGAAAAAGGTTCTCAAGGGGATCGCATATACTGGAAACTAAAAAGTTTACTTTCACTGAAAGTTCACGTCTTTTCTCTATGATAACTTGACTTGTTTTTACAATTCAGGGATGCGAACACTGATACAGGTTCAGTAGGAGAGGTAGACAAGCCATGTAAGTTGTATTAAGGAAAAATAGGAAGGATACGAAAGGAAGAATCTAGGTGTCAAATAAACACATTGTGCAAATCCTAACTCTTTTAAGCTTCTAGGAAAAATGGAGACTTCAGCTTTCAAGATGTGATTGATTTTTTTTTTTAAACACTAAGCTTCTGTTCATTTACCCAAAGGCAGCATTTATGTGTGATATAGCAGTTCTAACAAATACCGTAGAGAGCATGCACAGCAATGATTGGACATGGTTGCGAGATATCGAATCACCAATCAATGCCCATGCTTTATTCCTCATCATTTCAAGGAATCTCTCTGGATCAAATTTTGGTATTTCACAATCTCGCGGATTCCACCTCCAGTATAGATACCCTGTATCAGGCCGCCCATTCCTTATACAATTCTGAGGATTTTCAATAATGGGGCAGCTCTCATTGTAACCTGGACCTGAAGTATTTGGAACCCAATCCCCAGTGAAAAGATCACACTTTTCTGCACAAGATTGTACACAAAGTTTATTTCCATTGAAAAATACATCACTTCATACAATTCCAAATGAATATAACACTATCTGAAATAAGAGATTCCAGGAATAGTAAAAGGGGCATTCAACTGAAGTAGATAGCAGTAGATCAATCCAACTGCTAGTATCAGAATAATATAACACAATCAGAAATGTAACTAAAATAAAACAAAAACTACAACAAACATCAAGATTTCCCAATATATAGAAGCAGAAGGGGAATTTCCCAGCGGCAGATCTCAAGTACACTCAATTGTCGCTCACATAGTCATAGTTTCCAATAACAGCAATTTACTCCTAGCTGCTTTTAGATTTCTCATGCATACAACACAAAAATAGAAAGAAAAGGATAAACAACAAGAACCCAGCAAAGAAAAGCCAAATACCTTGGAGGGGAGGTATCTGATCCTGATCATTTTCTGGAACTTCTGCAGAAATCGGTGGCTCTGAAACCACAGTTTTCTCAGGAAAAGGAGTTTCTTTTCTGGGTAAAGGTATCTGATCCTGATCTTCATCTTGTGGAAATCGTACAGCGATTGGTTCATCTTGTGGAACTTTTACAGAGATTGGTTCATCTGGGGGAACTTGTACAGAGATTGGTTGCTCGGCAGCGACAGTTTTCTCAGGAAAAGGGGTTTCTTCTATTCTGGGTGAAAAATCCCCAGTAGAGGTAGAAATAAAGAGACGAAGAGCAATACCCATGAAGAGAATTGCAACTACAAACTTCACCACCAAATGCTTGTGCTTGTGATTAAACCATAGATTCCAGTTCAACTTCATTGTCTTCACCACTTTCTCACTGCTCTCTCTGAAAAAGATAGTGCAGTCGAGATCTTTGAAACCAACCAAATGCTTGCGCTTGCTGCCTATTTAGCTGATGGAAGAGTGTAGTAAAAGGGCTTAAAACCCAGATTATCACTTAAAAAATCAAGAAAATATTTTTTTTTATATTGGGATTACAAAATGTAAGATTGGATCGAAGAGGGGTTTCTTGCGTTGTGGTTGCTTTTTGGCTGCTTTGGGATATAATAAGGGTGTACGAAATAAGTTCAATCTGGAATATAATAAGGGTGTACGAATAAAGTGATTAAAGTGATTACTGGTGATTATTGACGAATTATTAGAGAGATTGTTTATGTAGAACAAGAGAAGCGGCCTGGTAAGTAGGAATTGCATTTACCCCTCAACCCTTTCTTTTCACTAAAAAGAAAGGAAAGGGTAACAATATTTATCCTTGCACTGGAGATTCTAGTTTCGATTTCTTATCTCTCATATAACTTGTATATATTAAAAAGAAAAACATTAAGAAGTAAAATGTAGGCACCTCTTTTCACAAATTTTACAAGTTTTATATTAATGTGTTGATTTGTATTATAGCATATTTTAAGAAAATTATGAGATTTCTGTTATTGCTTGAAAATATGAAAACTACCGTTCTCTGTTGCTCATTTGCTATATTTGTTGCAGTAAAACAAATTTAAAAACTATTGCTAGATTTGTGTGAGTAAAAACATCATCCTCTTTACCAACCAAATAAAGATTCAGACTTTAATGTCTGCCCCACAATTGTTAATACATATGTCAGCTTCATGTATTGTGGGGTAATAGCCACTTCACTTTGGACAAGTTGGATTTGACATGCTTCCTGCCTCTGCCATTTGGGGTTTTAAAACCACAGTATCTCTTTCAAGTTTCAATTATTCCTCTCCTTTTTTATATTATAATCCTATTTTTTTTTATTCTGTAATATCTCTCAGTTCTCATGTTTTGCTTGGCAACAGACTGACAACAATCTTAAGATATGTTTAGTTGTTGAATTTTTTTGCCAACCAAACAATGAAGCTTTCATCTCAATCAGATCCAATTTTTTGTGCAAGAAAAGTTAACTGTATCCCTCTTCTCTTACAGCAAAGCCACCTTTATTTCAATTCAAAAGATGAAATTAACAAAATCTTGCAATCTAGCTAAGCCAATCAGGCTCAACAGGAGACAGAATGTATGAACAAGCATGCCTATAATTACACAAAATTGTATTGTTACAAATGCAGCATCAATTCCAATGGACAATTGCCTCAAACACAAATGGATGATACAATGGACAATTGCTGCATCAATTCCAATATGCCTCACAATCTATATGAACAAATCACATCACTCAGAGAGATGTATGAACAAACACTTGAGATTATGAAACTGTAATCACAACATATTCCAGGATTTTGACTTTGCAACAAACCAAAAGGAACAAGACACCTTAGGAAGTAAACAGGCACCAAGAACTCAACTGGTGATTGACTTGTCATTATCATCTTTAAATACTCGAAGCACTCCGGTGTTTATATCAGGAAATCGAAACCACAAAAGTGAATTACACAACCACTTTGGGGACTTTCATGCCAAATCCATGCTTTGCCTTCTCAATTCTGTCCAATGAAATGCAAACGGTCATTAATGCAACAATAAGAATACAGATTAAGCATCACATCATTTAACAGACAAACAGATGCATAAACATCTGTAATTATGAGGGTTGATGTGTTACCAAATGGTTTGTTATCAGATTCAGAAGGACCAGCTGGCATTTCTATTATTTAGTCAGTTAGATAGGATCCAGGCCTTCTTGTACAATTAATAAACAAGCACGAAAATGACAGTAATTTTAGTTTACACTTTACACACAGGAAGATGACCAAGTGAGGATCAAGTCAAATGGTTTTGATATCAGTTATGCATTTTCTTTTATGGTTGGAATCTCCTTAAATATTGTTTTAGCACGCAACTATGGTCAACTGTAGACAAGTACAAGGACTTACGTGGGAGCAAGTTTGCCAAGGGTACCTAGCTCTTGCCCTGAGCCCTCATCCGTAACTTTCCCAGAAATTTCAACGACGTAACATTTATTTTTTGTAGTTGATAGTCCTCTGCTTGCAAGTAGGTCCAAATCTCTCTGATGTAGCTCTCTCCCATTTACATAGACACCTGTGTTGCCAGCAGCACAATTTGTTGGCATGGGGTAATAGAATTCTTCAATAAACGGCTGCAAGACAATAAGAATGCTTTGTTTACAATTCCTCATGAACCTGTACAAACAAAAATTTATAAATGAAAAGTAAATTGTTCTCACAGGAATTATTCCAAGGCAACTTTGGCCCATCACGCCCCAGAATCCGGCTCTGAAGTCATACCTAGTTTAAGAGGCAGATGTAACAAAAGTTAGTTTTCAGCTAAAAGGACTGTAGAAATGTCACACTCTTAAACTTGGGCATGAAACAATGCACTAAATGGGAGTCACCATGCTGCCTCACCAGTAATTTCCAGGTTTAATTGGGCCTGCACGCTTTTCAGCTTTTTTAACAACATGATCTGGTAAAGGTTGCCCATTAATAAAAACACTAGGCCCTGTTCTCTCCACCACTTGATTAGATTTCGAGAAATCTTTAAAGCTCTTTTTGATGAGACCCACCAACAAGGAATCAGCGCCCCTGCCGATTTTGGGTCGATCTTCATCTTTGCTTCCCTCTGCAGAGTCTTGAGATATGCTGGTATTGAGATATTCATTGAAAGAAGCATCCACCTCAGTTTCCACTGACCTATCTTTCACAGAATTCTGTCGAGAAGTGATCTTACTAAAGAGCACCTTGTCTTGGTCAATACATTCACTCTTGTTTCCCTTCCCATCTATGCTTACTGCATGCTTAGAAGGACTATCATCAGACCGCTCCCAAAGAGGCGAACCGGGACATGCTGGAGAAAAGGAATCTTTTGTTGGCAGCTTAGCAGAGTCAGGCACATTTCTATGAGCAATCACAATATCTGAGATCTCCTCTTCCTCCTTGGAAGAGATGGAAGATGAAGAAGAAAGGCATTTCATTTTCTCAGATGTATCTAAGTTCAGCCTCTGGTCATCTGCCAGTGGACTGTCTTTGGTATCTATAGACTGCAAGTTATTACCAGAATTATCTAAATCATCACAGCAGGAGTTGGTGTCACCTGCATTCTGACTACTGTGAGAACTTAAAACGCTTCCCTTTAACACCTCATTATAACTTTGATCAATCTCAGGAGATAAATGGTTGGATTCTTTAGGAGCAGAAGTAATGAGCTTCTTGTTCTTGATTTCAAGTGAGATTACAGTTGAGCAGGAACCACAGCGCAGTTTTGACTGATTCTTATTTGTCACGTTAAGTTTTCTCGGCAGTTTCAGTAATTCAAAGCAACTAAAGCATGTGATGATTGGGGCACCACCTGCTACAGGATGGAAAATCCGTCCATACCTATTGACTGCCGTTGGCCTTCTTGGATGTCTATCACCATCATTGTCAGAAGCAAGGTCACTTTGCCATCTTGTGTGGAATGGAGGAGGACTAGCATCTCGGGGATCATAATTATGCGGCTGCAATGTTGCAGGATTGACATGATGATAGGAATTCAAACTACTTGGAACTTTTGGAACCCCTTTATTACCAAAATCAGCGAGTGGAACTTGGGGAGGAAGTGCAGAATTCTGGTTGTAGCAGCTTAAACAAGAGCATCCTGGCGAGTGAAAAACATTCTCATGGTGATATGATGCAAGTGGATGCAGATTGAAACCCATGTGCTGCTGCCCCATAAAGTATTCATGAGGTGGTGGTCTTGGATATTGGGGTGGATGATGGGGAGGCCTCTTTTTCATCTGTGGCTGAGATGGATCCTCATACTCTGGAATCACATTCAAGGGATGCCTTTGAGGAGGATAGAAGTTCTGCATATCCATGCTATGATGATCCATAAAAGGAACAGGTCCATGGCTGTAGTTGAAGTGAGGAGGTCTTGGCATCGGCTTGTCTACAGCATATGGCTGCATTGAAAGATTATACGTTAACCGGTCACCATAAGGATCAGGCGGTGTCCTACTCCTCTCTATAGGAACCATTTCCCTTGGTTTATCTGCTACATCATAAGTTCTGCTAAGTTTCTCCTTCAACTCATCCAACTTCCTAAGAAGCTCAGCTCGATCCTGTTCTAAATTTTCAACTTCACTCAGATCACCCCTATACGTCTGCTCACCATGACCCTGAAAAGAATCAAGCTCATAGTTTGAAGGTCCCTCGTCAGGATAAGCAGATATTGGAACTCTTCCACGCTCAGCAACAACCCTGGTGCTTGCATAATACCCCTCGAACCGACCTCTTTCTACACCCCACTGGTCCATGCTTTCCCTTGATCTTAATGACCCAGCAGTATAATTTGACTGGGTTGAAATATCTCTCACACTTGAATTTACAGACGAAAGCCTACTCATGTTCATGTCAAGGTCATTTCCAGAGATCCAATTATCGATTGGGAATTGCGAATTTCGACTGTATTTTTCAACAAACTCAGTTTCTTTTGCTGCACCACTTTGGTCAAGTTTTAAACCCTTAACCCCCTCCCTAACATTAACATAATTATCAACCAAAACCTCTTTGTTATTATCTGTTCTTGATGAACTACCACTAATGGAATCGAACTTTCTTTCTCCAAAGACTCTCTCTTTTCCTCTACCTCGCCTCAAATCCATCACTCTCCTTTCAATCTCAGAATCACAAATTCAACTATCAAGGCCTCGAAATTTCATCTAATGTCTCCGAAAACCTATCCAAAGGCCAGTTCTTGTTTGCTGTACCATTAAACAATAATGAAAAGGTCCCAGAATCACCAAATTAGTACCTTGAATTTCTCGTGAATCATAAATAGAAAGAAAAAACTGAACAAAAATGAAAATTTTGAAGCATATAACATAGTTGGAGCTGCAATAACAGTTCAGAATTCCAAATTCATTTCTATTTTCCTTCCTTTCTGTTTCATTTTCTCAGTTACCAAGAAAAGATGAAAAGAAACAAAATGCCAAAATGGGAAAAAAAAACATAGAGAGCAAACAAGACATACCTCAAGAACATAACCATAGGAGGCATGGAGCTCTGGTAGTTACCACCACACTTTAGTCCCTTCAGCCATTATTAAGCATAAAAAAACGAAGAACCAGAAGGGCCAGAACCAGAACACCAAACCAAACTCAAACTTCAAGTTCACGTCCAACTAACCTTGAAACCCACAAAGCTCTCTCACCAACAACTATAAAAACAACAAACAAAGACTTGTCTTTTTTAAGCTCAACATGCTTCCACCAAAAAAATCAAAGGACACACCAGAAGACAAACATAATCTGATAAAAGCAAAGGCATCATTAAACAAGACACTGACTCTACTTTGGGCTTTGGCTGTTGAGATAGAACACACGATTTTAGAAACTCCCACATGTCCTGCTTAGAAACCAATAATTAGATTTCTCAGATTTAAATAAAAAAGATAAAATCTTTACAGAATCAAACAAAAGGGTTAAGTTTTAAGGCTAGGAAGGAATATGGATTTTGTATATTGGGTCCGATTCCCGATAGCTTCCCGGGCAAAGCGAGTACGTGTGGTTCGGGAAAAGTCTCTGCTTGTGTCCGAGACTAGACAGCTGGCGTGAAAAAGCCAACGCGTACTTGATGGCTTGTGAGAGCAATTATGTGTTGGAAAAAGGAACAGTGCTTTTTAAATAATTTACATAGTCAACTTATATAATCGTCACGAATTATGCTTTTCTGTTACATCTATGTTCTAGTGAAGAACTCATTTTCTTTTGGAGAAACGATGGATTGGCCGGCGTTGACCACTTCATGACTTGGTTTTAAGAAAATTTTAACTCGAAAAAAATTTTAAAATTGAAAAGAAGAGCACCACTAAAGTATAAATTAGTTAATCACGTGCTTTTAATTGGTCAAAAAAATCTTACAATTATAAGGTACATTAGTATGCATTATTACAAGATGGCTCATAGGTTCTTAGAAAATAATATATACACGGTACCAATTCCTAGATGTGTTCTAAATATGTTTTTCATTATCTAAAATATGCATAAATTGACTCCTTTATATAGAAGTACATGTGCCCCTTAAAATGTCATGTAACCCTCCATTACACCCCGCTATTTTGTGTACATGTTGCATCCCCAAAGTCTATATGCCTCTTGAATTGTGATGAAAAGTAAAAAACATCTTTTAGCTTAATAATTTTGCAGAAATATATTTTTCCAGGATTCTTTCACTCAAAACTTGCACCTTTTCATTCCATGAAAGAAATAGTGCAAGTCCTTTAAATTTAATGTCGATGAGAGACAATAACGAAAGGGTAGAGGTCCAATTAAATTTTACTTCGGTGTTATTATAAAATTCAACTATTTCTTTTTTACTCAGAAGAACGTGACATGTTTATTCTAATATTTGAAATTAGAATGTGAACAGCAGAAAGTAGGAGCAAGCAAATGTGTCACCTCGGATGGTACCCTTTTTGACTTAACCCTACATAGAAAATTGAGTTTTTATGCCTGTTGACTTTGTAAACGAATAAATGATTTGGCTAGGTCAAGACAACGACGCCTAAAAGATAGGAATATATTGCAAAAAATAATTAATAAATAAAATTGTTTGTTAAAATGTTACTTTCTTCCAAACTTGTATTGTTGGGTTACCCAATTTATGATTTTGGGGCCTCAACCGAAATAATGCTAGCAGCTGGACCCTCATTGCTAGTTGGCCAGGCCCAAATAAATGGTTTTTATTTCTTTGCCCAACCAACAAAATAAATGGTTATAGTTTACTAAACACACACATTTAGGGGTGTGCATCAAAACCGGAATACCGAAACCGTCTCAAAATTGTGCCAAACCGTGCCAATCTCGTGCCAGTCCATTTGGTGTTGAAGTGTAAACGGGATGATACCGTGTCATCTCGTTACTGTTTAGCATGACACCGGTTCCAGATTTGTGATCCTGTTTGGTGTCATATTGTACTGGAATACCGAAACCGTCTCAAAACTGTGCCAAACCGTGCCAATCTCGTGCCAGTCCATTTGGTGTTGAAGTGTAAACGGGATGATACCGTGTCATATCGTTACTGTTTAGCATGACACCGGTTCCAGATTTATGATCCTGTTTGGTGCCATATTGTACTGAATAGTACCAAGTAAATAATAAATCACAATTTCAGATTCCTCCTCTCTCACGAACATTTTGACTCCAGCTTTGTTTCCTCCGTCCTCTCCTTTCCTTCCCTCTTTTCTATCTATTCTTCTCCCTTCTCTTCTTCTTTCCTTCCCTCTCTCTCTCTCTCTCTCTCTCTCTCTCTCTCTCTCTCTCTCTCACATATAATTTGGTAGGATTTTTTACGGTATCAACATTGATACCGAATCATACCGGTCTCGTTTGGGTACCGAATCACATGTCATAATAGACTTTTAGGCCCCATTTGGTTCGCAGAAAAGATTTGATGAGAAATAATTTCCCATGTCTTTCCCACATGATGGGAAATGAAAGATTCATTTCTCATAATTGGTAATCCTATAAAAGTAATCAAGAAATACCACTTTATTTCCTTTAACATGTTTGGTTTGTGTAGGAATATAAAGCAAAGTTTGATTAATTTTCCAATTATACCCATATGAGATTAAATTTAAAAAAAAAGAATGTATTTAATGCTAGATTGTAATTCTAAATTGTTAATAGGGACAAAATGGTCATGAAAAATGTGCATTTAATGTTGGCTCATTTTCCCAAACTTTCCCTTGATGAGGAAAACAAAACCGAAGTGGGGAGGAGGGCTTCACTTTCCCCCTACTTTCCCATGTGCAATACAACCATTTCCCATGCATGGACTTACCAAACTTGGGAAAGCAATTAATTTCTTATCTTCAAGCCTCATTTCCCAAGAACCAATGGGGCCTTAAGGCTTTTCTTTATCCACTCGTGATCATGTTATGGACAACACAAATTATCCCACACATATAGTAAAAGCTTGAATATACCAATTGTGATCGACTTGAATGAATCAATGTATCGTGACGTATTCTGTGTATGCTTGTGTACCTTTACAATTTTACCCTTATCGATCGAGGATGGATTTTTGGATAGAGAAGTCCTGTTAGTTTGACAAACTCTATTCGAGTCATAATGGTACAAAGCATAGCCATGATCAACATACAACAAGACCTCTTTCTATCTACTTTTCACTTGTATACACATCTCTCTTCCTGCAAAAACGAAACGTCCCAAGAAAACTATAAAATCCGGTCCTTAACTTCTTCCATTTCTGACCACCATTGCTCTCCTTCCTCTTCCACAAACCAGACCCTTTCGGCTTTATCTTTGTCATGCGGTCCTCACCACCAGAGTCCCTGCAGAAAAATGGGAAGCCCATTGTGTGCCGCTCAAGAATATGGCCAACCGAAGCCAGCTCATAAGAATCATACAAGGGGCTTCCACAGTCCCAAATTTTAGCAGCAGAAGCAGCTTCTTCTTCTTCTTCTTTCTCTTCCTTCTTCTTCATCATCTCTGCATAATTTGGTTTCTCCGTTTTGAGGCATGTGAAATGAAGATTATATAATGTTCACGGTCACTAGCTAGATATATGATTGGAACACGTGGCATAATAATATTTGTTAGGCAGCCGAATTTGCTGTTGTCAGTTGAGTGGCAGGCAACATAAAATTAAACATATGCCATAATAGTTCTGAGGAAAGAATTTAAATTATTTGGTAGCTAATTAGATGACAATAAGATAACCATAACCATAAGATGGGTATATGAACTATAAAATTTTTGAACACTGAGGGATAAGATAGAGAAGAGTTAGGGCCACGGATCACCTAATCATTATGAAAATGTTATCTAACTTTTAAAAAGAAAAAAAATTATTTGGCTTATCTTAATTTGATCTAATCATGATGAAGGTGATTATTAGGGATCCATCATAAAGTTATATTGTTTTATTAGTTGACCTGTTTTATATATCTCTCTTCCGCTAAAGGATTGTTGTGAATCATGATGGACCGACATAGTTTTCTAAACTTGAACTTAGGTTACTGAATATCAATTTACAATACCTGATACATTCTCGAGATTTCATACCCCGAACTTAGGTGATGACTGAATATCAATCTACAATACCTGATACATTCTTGAGATTTCATACCCCAAACTTAGGTGATGGAATATTCGATTCATAGTACTTGGCTTAAACTTAGTGGATGGATTTGAGAGGATGTCTCTAGGAGTGTCCCTATCATGTTTGAACAAAGTGGCCACTCTATTATATGCCCTTACATATCCGTATTGGTTGATCCTATATTGGATTTTGATTCCAAAGGTGAGGTTTAAGGTTGGTTAAAGATGGTTGCCAACCATTAGTTTGAAAGTAACCAAATGGACACAACACAAAGCATAGGATCTTTTGCATTTAAGAAATAAAAATAACAAATAAAAAAGTTCTCTGCATCTAGTGTTGGTGTTGTGGAATTATGCCTTATTTGTCTGAGTGTGCAGGCAGAAAATTACAGCATCAACTTGTGTGTAAAGTAACAGATCAGATTCTAAATCCCTTTCCAAAATAGACTTATCTCTCTTTTTTTCCACCCACATTCATGCCATGACATATTTTTTGTTTGATTTAGGTTTAGGTGAAGTTTACACAAAAAGGGGAAAATCTTACACAAATAAGCTATGGAAATCTAATTTTGTGGCCTAGTGTGAGAAACCCACAAAACACTCTAGTGCATATGGACCACCTTTTAGCAAACAATTCTATATTTATCTTAAAGGGTATACTGGTGAAATACCCCCTGAACTTGTACCTTAGTTTCAATTAGCCCTCTATCCTTTTTTTTTAGAAAATTAAGGACCCGATCTATTTTTTTTCATCAATTCCCCCCCTCCGTCTAAATCCACAACATTTCATCCAATTTGCCGTTAAAATTGAGGGCAGAATGGTCATTTTGTACATAAAAATAAATAAATAAATGAAAAATAAAATAAAAAACAGAAAATTGAATTTCTCTCTCTCTCTCTCTTTCTTCTCTCTCTCTCTCTCTTTACAAGCTCGCGTGGGTCTCTCTCTTTTTTTGCAGGCTCGCGTGGGGATGGGCGGCTGGGGAATGGGATGGGTCTGGGTCTTGGGGGCAAGGGCTGGGGATGGGTTTTGGCTGGGGCTGGGGATGGGTTTCGGCTGGCGCTGGGGTTGGATCTTGGTTGGGGATGGGAGGAAGGGAGGGGGGGGATTTAGGGTTGATAGGGTTGGAGGAGATAGAGCTGGGGGAGGGGTGTTCACCAAATTATTTAGAGCAGCCGATCCTTACTCTAGGAAGACAAATGAACACACTCTTCATTATTTCAAATTCTTAGAGTGTTTATGAGAGAGAGAGAGAGAGAGACCATTGAAATTGTGGTGAGTTGTGTTCTTAGGATTTTTTTTCTTTAGGCAAGGAAGCCATGTAAGTTGACTTGCGCTCAGAGGCAAGCTGCTGAACTTTCTGGAATTCTTGCAATGTTGTTTGGAAATCCCTTCCAAGCTTGGCATCTTCTATCTGCTTATTGGGCTGAAATTATCAACAACAAAAGATGGGTTTTTTATTTAGAAAGAAAGACCAGGAAGAAACAATGTTAAGAACTGCATATCAAGATTCAAAAGCAGTTTGGTGTATTTTTCTTTTTCTTTTGTTTTTTGTGTCAATTTTTCTCTGTTTTTTCGATTTTTTTTCAAAAAAATAATTTTTTAAAATGATTTAACTGAAAATTGGATGAAATGTTGAGGATTTAGACAGTAGGGGGGAAATTGGAGAAAAAAAATAATTTATATCCTTAATTTTCTTAAAAAAAAAGGATAGGGGGCTAATTGAAACTAAGGTACAAGTTCATGGGGCAAATCACCAGTATACCCTATCTTAAATTTTGTTTTAACTATTTCCTTATTTTTGTGCATGACTAATGTTTTTATTTACTATACATGTGTCTTACTAAACATGACATGACACGATACGACACAACTCGACTCGACTATTATGTTAAATGTACTGTCAACACATGACTGAAAAAAACCATGTCCCGAATAAGTGCATGGTTTTTCATGATTACTAGGTTTTTTACAATGTGTAACATAAAATAAGTGGCAAAGGCTTTTGGCCAGAACTCATGAAAATCATAAGAACAGGGCCATGCAATTTATTTTTTCCCAGTCTTTTGGCCTTCATGTTTATCTCTTGCAAACGTGTGCGGTTTGCATTTGTTTGTCCAAGACATGGATAAATTTCGATATGGACAGTTTTGACAATTGATGTAATTTCATCGACCCTTCATGTCATTGATGTTGAGACGTGACAAATGTCAATTTTGCATTTTGGATATTGTTGTGTTTTGTGGACCAACAGCATCAAATTCAGCCTCTAATTTTAATTGTGAGCAAATTTTATGTAAAAAAAATATGAAACATCAGATACCTTATCCAAAAAAAATAAAAAAAATAGGAAAGATAATTTATTGGTTGGTAGAATTAAAAATCTTTTGTTCTTCCTAATATGGTTAATTGATTTTTATTCACAATCAAGCACCAAAAGGAAACAAGCACCAACCACAAATAATCATGACATGTAATCATATTTTGTAATTAATTAAATCTTATTGTTTATTTTGCACGACTTGTTAGTCTATTGTGTCTTGGTGACGCTTATATCGATTACACTTTATTATGTTTTAATTATACAAAAAATAAAGAAGAAAAAAAAGGTTAATTATTTATACATTTTATTTAATAAATAAGATTTAACACTTTGCCTCAACATAGAATTGTTTTCAAATTTTAAGATTTACCATTTCGTCAACCTGATCGTTGTGCGTACCAACTGATCAGGTCCGTTGATCAGTCTGACCAACAAACAAGATACACATTTTACCTATCTAAAGAAAACGCGGCTATGTACAACGGTGCAAGCAGATGATTTTGGTCCCAAATTTAAATTTGGGTTAAAGCGAAAATAAAGACGCATAAAAAATAGATTAGTAGGAATTAGTTGTAAAATCACAAAAAATAAAAATAAAAATAAAAACTCAAAAATGGAAAAGAAAAAGAAAAACAGACATAAAAAAAATAGCAGTAGCCGCAGTTAATACTTCAGTGACAACGGCCCTATGTATATAAATTCCTCAACGCACGAATCATTTCTCCCTATTTCGTCGTCTCTCTACTCGCGTTCTCGTACGCAACGACACGCCGTACATGCGGCCGCATACTCGCCGATAAATCGCCGGAAAAGCTCCCGAGAAAATCAATCGGCGGCGGATTTGGTCCGGGAGTCCTAGGGTTCCGGCGAGTCGTTGAGATTGTGCGTGTCTTTGTGTGTGGGGTTTAATGGCGTCGGAAGACGTGAAGAGGACGAGCGAGACTGCGGTATCGACGATCGTGAACCTGGCGGAGGAAGCGAAGCTCGCGAGCGAAGGAGTGAAGGCGCCGACGAGCCATGCCTTACTGAGCATCGCCAAGTCTCTCGTCGCTGGTGGAGTCGCCGGAGGAGTGTGAGTTCGCAGCAAATGCTTTTTTTTATTTTTATAAATAAGTAAAATTATTTTCAAGTTTTGATTTTTCGTGGTTCTGTTTAGATATTGGTTTTCTTTTTGTTTCCCTGCTTTGGCTTCGTTTGTTTCGTTGCTGAATTTGCTTTAGGTTTTGTTTTTTTTTCATTTTTCATTTGTGGACTGAAATATAAGTAGACTTCAAAAGCAAAAAAAAAAAAAAAAAAAAGGAAAAAAAAAAAAAAAAAAAAAAAAAAAAGGAAATACAAAAAGAAAGAAAGAAAAATAAGGCTTTTTTTTAAAAGTTCGTTTGTTTTTCATTGCCTGGAAGTGGAAAACATCTAGTTTTTAAATTTGCATGCAGTGGTTTATCTGTTTTTGCTACTTTTATCCCTAGTTGTTTTTTTTTTTTGTTTCAATAGAAGCGATAATTTATTCGAAGAAAGAAATCAAGTGCAATCCTCTAGAAGAACATCCACAATGAAGTTTGGAGGCTCTTCAATGTTTGTTAGAATTATATCATAAGGAATCGTTTATATTTATGACCATATATTTCAGGACCAAAATACTTGTGGGAAATGAATGGCACACTTGAGAAGGAAAGGGGGATCTTAATTTGGTTAGCATGCTTGAAATTTGTGTATGAAGATTGTGTGTCTTATAATCTCTATGTTGTTGATTAACTGTAAGCACCAACTGCTAGTTGCTGGTGCTGTTATTTTCATTAGAGGTTCTTGAAATGGATGTTAGATTAGCAAGTGTGAAGGACGAGTTATATACCATGCATGAAAGTAGTTGTCTCTAGGAATTAGAGAAATATTTGTTATGTCACATATAACACGAGTGATGTGGGTGAACTTCTAACCTTATATCTATCTCTTATAGACTACAACTACATGGTGCAGGTCACGAACTGCTGTTGCTCCATTGGAAAGATTAAAAATTTTGCTGCAGGTACTTCTCTTATTTGCACATATGGGAATTGGTATTTGGATCCTTAATCTCGCAAAGAGCAGATATAAGCTATGCTTATTTTATAATTGTAATGTAATGCATGCTGGCATTTCCAACCCTCTGTTTTTTGGGGTATGGGGGGTGGAGTGCTAGTTGGGACCTAAGCAGTAAGCATTTTATATTATTTTAAGCTGGAGTAAATTGGATTTGCATCTTCTTCCATTATGCAGGTTCAAAATCCTCATAGCATTAAATACAGTGGGACAATTCAGGGCTTGAAGTATATATGGAGAACCGAGGGTCTCAGAGGCTTGTTTAAAGGCAATGGAACTAATTGTGCTCGCATAGTCCCAAATTCAGCAGTCAAATTCTTTAGCTATGAGGAAGCTTCTAAGTATGCTTTTCCAGTTCCTGCATCCTCTCTCTCTCTCTCTCTTCTCCCCCACATTTTTCAATATGATCACTGATCTGTATAGGCAGTTATATTCATCCGTTGATTCTCTTTCTTCCCCCACATTTTTTAATATGTTCACTGGTATTTGTTTGCAGTATTTTCATTCATTAGCATAAAGCTTTTAATAGATCAAATGTCTATTTTCATATCATGTCAGCAGCGTTCTGATAAGTTCTCTACATCTTTATGTACTTTTTGTTAATAGGGGTATTCTATGGTTCTACCGACAGCAAACTGGCAATGGTATGACCACCTTGAGTCTATTTCTTATGCAAAGTCAATTGCACATGACATTATAGGTAGTTTCGTTTGGTATGATTCAATTCAATTTCATTTTTCTTATCCTTATTGTGTAGCATGTCAATCATTACGTAAAGGATCATAGTTTTCAGTCTTGATGGGGTTAAGTTCATGGTAATAGTTTGGTAACGGTGTCATATTTATATTGCTTTATGCTTGGATTAGCAAACCATCCCTTTTTTGGTTTATGGTGTTCACCTAGAGAAGCACTGTAAATTGATTTATGTGATTTCCTTGGCTGAGTTCATTCAGTCTGTGTTTGTCTGTTTAAGCTCTGATTCGGTCAAATTTGGATCAGTGTGCATTCTATGTGATCAATTTTTTTCCTATTGTATTTGTACGTCTTCTGGGTCCAGTTTTGGGAACAGTAATATAGGTATGACAGTTGTGGCTTTGATGGATTATATTTGCTCTACTTCTCCATCTCTTGCAGAAGATGCTCAACTCACACCTCTTTTACGCCTTGGAGCTGGTGCTTGTGCTGGAATTATTGCCATGTCAGCAACTTACCCTATGGACATGGTACGGGGTCGTCTAACTGTCCAGGTATCTTTTGGAGATTTAATTTAAGGAGATTTTTTCCTGTGAATGAGGCAGTTTTTACTATACATTCACTTTGATGGCTTAAATTTGTTTGAACTTTATTTCTTCAGACAGAAATGTCTCCTCGGCAGTATAGGGGAATCGCTCATGCTCTTTCAACCGTTTTTCGGGAAGAAGGCCCCCGGGCTCTGTACAGAGGCTGGCTACCTTCTGTCATAGGAGTTGTAAGTGGTGTTTGCTTATTTCTGTATTCTCTATAGTGCTAACAATAAATTGAAACCTCTTATCAATTTTTCGATTCATTCATTACTCATCTGCGTTGTCGATTCAATCATTAATCATTTCTATTGCCGAAGTCTGAACTTTGATGACTTTCGGTGATAGGTCTCATTTCTGATGGGATATTTTTTTTCTAGGGTGTATTTGTTTGCTAATTTATTATGTATATCTCTCTTTTGTTCCGTGAGTTAAGACTTTATTCTAATTTCTGTATGAGATTTCTTAATGTTTTTATTTTGTTAACAGGTACCTTATGTTGGTCTCAATTTTGCTGTTTATGAATCTCTGAAAGACTGGTTGATCAAAACTAGACCTTTTGGTTTAGTTGAGGACTCTGAGTTGAGTGTAACAACAAGGCTTGCATGTGGGGCCGCTGCTGGAACTGTTGGCCAGACAGTTGCTTACCCTCTTGATGTCATCCGGAGAAGGATGCAGATGGTAGGCTGGAAGAATGCTGCTTCAGTTGTCGTTGGTGATGGGAAGAGCAAGGCACCCCTCGAATATACTGGAATGGTTGATGCATTCAGGAAAACAGTCCGTCATGAGGGGTTTGGAGCACTGTACAAGGGTTTGGTCCCTAATTCTGTTAAGGTCAGTGTTTCTTTCCCCCTTAAATTTTCATTTTGTCAAAGGGGAATTTATGCCTCATTACATTCGGACCCATATATTATGTTTTCTGGAAACATTATAATGGTATACTGTCGTTCTTTTAGGTGGTGCCGTCCATAGCAATTGCGTTTGTCACATACGAGGTAGTGAAGGACGTTCTTGGAGTTGAGATGAGGATATCTGACTAAAAGCAAAGAGAAACTTGAGTTGAGCCACATGTTTAGCTTTTGCTCGTAATTTCAGAAGTGAAACGATTAGTGGACTGCTAGGAGAAGGTAAAATGTCAGGATTTTTTAATAAGTAGCAGGAAGTTTAGAAATAGCCCTATCCTATGTTGATACTCCTTCCCATCCCATCAATACACATATCTGTCGCCTGTAGTTTTAGCTATCCTATTATTCTTATGCTCTTGGCATTGTGACAATAAGTCTTTTGTTTCAAGGAAACGATGCATTTTATTTCTGTGGATTTCTAGAGAATAAGTATCAAATCAATTAATTGCTCAGTTTTTAAAAAAAAATTATTTATTTTAATTCAATATGCTGCCTTCTGTTTTGTGAGGAATGAATTGAACTTTGGACAATGTAACGGTGCCATGAACTTACGGTTTATGTTATTTAAGTGTTTCCACGTTAATGTTCTCTCTTTTAAAGTTTGATTATTTTGTGCTAAGTCAACTTTCAATATTGACATTTAAAGATAACGAGCTTGTCTTACATGCAACGGGGCACGGCAGTATCCCAAGCCTATCACGCATTGCTATGTCGGAAAGTTTAAACATATGGCAATAGGTGATTAGCGTGGGATAGCACCAAAGTGGTATCCCCGGTATAGGTAAGTCTTTCTCGTAGTCCCTGCTTTTATATTATCTGCCACCTGGCCGTTCAAGATGATGAATCCAAAAAATTCATTATTTTTCTTATGATTTAATAACAGTTGACGCAAATAAGTTAAACTTAATGATCAATTCAAATGTTATTTTAATCCGTAAATACAAATGCAACATTACGGTTTGCACTTTCACAATAAGAAAAAAAATTAAAATCTGAAAAGACATCTTTTGATTATTAGCAGTGCTTCTTTTTTCTTTTTTTTTTGGTGAAAACCAAGGTATCCCCGCGCGATTGCGGGGACTAACCCTCGAGGTACTGTCGGGCGCAAAGCGGGGACCTCTCCCAACAAAGTCTGCTCTATTCGCAAGCGCCTGTTGGTTTATGATATTTCATACAATGATACTAATAAAATTGAAGGTACCAAAAGTTTCTGAACTTCTAGACATCTTTTCTTCTTCTTCCTCTTTTTCTTTTCATATTTCACACTATAAAAGTGTTCGAATGAAAAAAGGGAG